TCACACACACACACACACACACACACACACTCACACTCACACATACACACACTCACACTCATACAAACACAGAAAAAGAGCGAGAGAAGGGGAAGAAAAGAGAAAAACCTAGAGATACACAGGAAGAGCATGAGAGAGGCAGGGAGGAAAAAAGAGAAAGAGAGAGAGAGAGAGAGAGAGAGAGAGAGAGAGAGAGAGAGAGAGACAGACAGACAGACAGACAGACAGACAGAGATAGATACCGAGAGACAGACAGACAGACAGGAACAGAGACTGAGAAACAGATTGACAGACAGACATATAGACAGAGCGAGAGTGGGGAGAAAGAGAGACAGAGAAATGGAGACAGAGAGATAGATAGATAGATAGATAGATAGATAGATAGATAGATAGATAGATAGATAGATAGATAGAGAGAGAGATAAAGAGACAGACAGACAGACAGACAGACAGACAGACAGACAGACGGACAGGTAGACAGACAAGTAGACATAGGGAGATAGGGGGAGAAAGAGAGACAGGGAGAGAGAGAAAGAGACAGGGAGAGAAAAAGACAGACAGACAGACAGACAGACAGACAGACAGACAGACAGACAGACAGACAGACAGAGAGGGAGAGAGAGATGACAGAGGGACACTGGAGAACGGGTAGACTTGCTGAAAATTAAACCCATTATTCCTTCAATTACGGTGATATTATTTTTTCAGATCTATTGAGACGAAGTAATGTATCTGCGTCTATTTGTTTATTAGAATACATTGTATTATGTTAACTTAAGCCAAAAACAAGTCTTACAGTTTATGGCCGATGAAGGCAGGGGGTTGCCTAAAATATGCGATAGAAATCACAGGCCTCCTTCTTTGTTAAAGGCCTAGTAACCTAGTGAACTAACTACAAACGGTACTACATTTTGTCATGACATGACAGCATCCCTGAGCATCGCCGTGGCAGCGATCACCGCGCTAAAGTGTTTTCGCGCCCCGAGCCGGGCGATACGCGAAACAGTGCACTGTTGTTATGGAGCGCCACCATGAGTGCCACCTCTCTATTACTGTAAACCCTCTCTGGTTCAATCCAGCCCTGTCCTTGACCTCTCGATCTCGAATCTAGTAAATCTAAATAAAAAAGAAAAGACCCCCTGTTCAGATCTGCCTGCAGCCACCGCCGCCCTTCAACTCCGACCGACCGTTTCTTCGCGTTCGCATCGCAGTGTCAACGAAGAAAAGCTTTTCCTAGGCCTAGGCTAGCTCAGATAGGCTAGTCCAAGATCTCAAGGCCTGAGCGCGCACGAAAGCACGACGGTAACCTTGGCCTCTTTTAAAAGAATGTGGTAGCCTAGTGTGTCCAGTTTGGGGGATGATCTAGATTCGCTTTGACCAATGATAGTACAACTATCTTTGCTTTGACCAATGATAGTACATAACAAGATGGGCCACTTCTCTCTTTGAGCCATTTAAAAAAGTGTCCTCAAAATTTGGTGGCGCCCTCTTCACAAAAGCGCACTTTTGCGAACTGAGTTACCCTACTTGAGTTTTAAAAAATGAAAGTGAAACTAGCAAGTTTTGGGATAAATTACGGAAGAAAACGTTTTTAAAATGGTTACGCTGACAAAAAACCTCTTCCGGAGAAAAGGGTGATGGTTTTCTTCGATTAATTTGACTTTAGAATGAAAGGCGAGAGGTCATTAAAACAAAAAACCCTAAAACTCCGCACTGAACGTACCCGAACTGCTGATGAACAGCAGTCGATCTGCGCACGCAAGGACGTGTTATTCCTATTCTTCTTCTGGAAAAACGAAAGAGAGCTTCAAAACAGACTGCAGCGCCATCTGAAGCAAAGAGCATACTTCCTGCGGACACTTTTTTGGCTGAGTGGCCCATCTTGTTATTCACTATCTTTGCTTTGACCCCGCTGACGACTACTTCTGGTTCTAAACGATTACTTTTTGACACGCATGCAGATAGGCCAAGGGCCTGAACTTGCCTAGGCTATACTATAAAAAATATAGGTGGTATCGATCGAATAAGCGCCCCCCCCACCACTCTCATTAATTTTCAGTCTTTTTGGGCACCCCCACCCCCTGCTCTCTTACTCAATATCCCCCGTTTATTATTTTCCAGCTTGCCTTGACCGACGAAAAGTTGTCACAGTTTTACCAAAATCACTAAAATGTTATAATCTCTCGTTCTTTTATTCACTGAAGGAGAAATGAAACAGATTTGTTCCTACTAGTACAGGGGTATGGGGTTGAATGTGCCCCTCCCCGTTCATTTTAATTTTGGACAACTTGTCCAACGACCCTCTCGTTGACATTATTCCTACCCTAGCCCCCGTTTATTCAATACCTTAGAGTAGAATATATCAAACTTAGATCAAATTGCATAATTATTAATTACCCCCCCCCCTATACTTATATTAGAAATTTTACAGTTCATTTTGTAGACTACTGATACCAGGGCATCTCGCGCTCTCGTTTTCATAAAACATTCCTTGTAAAACTTTGATGCCGAATATTTAAATCAGTATCGATGTCCAGTACTCACTGTGGATGACGGATGACAAAGATAGTGTACTATCATTGCGGATGATGCCAAGCAAAGATAGATCTAGTCTTGTACTAGAATCTAGATTCTATCTTTGACGGGACCTAACTCACGAACGAACCGTCGGTCACAGTTCGTGACGAGTGACGACCGACCTGTGGTGACGCACAGACACTTGACAGTAGACAGGCTGCTGACCCTGACAGCCTACCACTAGATTAGAACTGTCCGCTCGGTTTGTTGTCTAGGCAGTGGCAGTGGGGGGCGCAGGCCTAGCATCGCCATCGCTAGAAATCAAGAAGAGGTGGTAAGTAATGGTGAAATTGTGTTTTATTCTTGCTTGTAAATTGAGTAGATTCTAGATTCTAGATATAAGATCTTATATCTAGATTCTAGATCTAAAATCTAGATTCTAGATCTAGAATCTAGGGGAGGACTTCCGTAACGACGAACGACCACTAGGCCTATGAGACGGAGCAGAATTGAGGTTTAGGGGCAGGGGTAATTGTTTACTTTCAGAGATGGCGTTTTATTCCCAGGGAGGACTTCCGTGTAATGTGGGACCATTCTGAACTCTATGAATTCAATGGCTCAATGGCCATCACTTCGAACTCGACTGCTGCACTAGACTAGCAAGACGACTGACGTTCTCGTAAAAGTTTTGACCAAAAGTGGAACTAGCTAGACAAGGCAAGTAACTCTAATAAAACAGATTGCGCATGAACTGCACAGAAGGAAAAATAGGGAACTGGTCGCGCTCAGGGGCGGATGTCTCTGGTCTAGATCTAGATTTAGATATATATCTAGGCGCGTCAGGAATTAAACGCGAGAAAGTAAACAATTGCTGGGGTAGGGTTAGGGTCAGGGTCAGGGCACTCCTGTACAATAATTGCTGTCCCGTTTAGGGATACACTCATTTTGACCCCACCAACGATTACTTCTGGTCTAAACGATTACTTTTTAATGCTCGTGCGGATAGGCCTATAGAGTCAACCGAACCTAACTAATTGCGAAAAATCAAATTCAAATTCAGGGGGGCCGGGGGGGCCCCGAATGTTTTTCCTGGTTGGGGGCAAGCCCCCCCCTGAAACCCCCCCCCCCCCTTGCCTTGTTAAATAATAGTGAAATTTTACTGCTCATTTAGTAAGCTAGATTTACAGCAAAGATAGTACAACAAGATGGGCCACTCCTCTCTTTGAGTCAATTAAAAAAGTGTCTTCAAAATTTGGTGGCGCCCTCTTCACAAATGCGCACCCTTTGCGAACAGAATTACCCAACTTGTGTGAAAAAAAATCAAAGTGAAACTAACAAGTTTTTGAATAAATAAGAATTCAAATTTAGGAAGAACGCTTTTTTAAAATGGTTACGCTGACAAAAAACCTCTTCCGGAGGAAGGGGTGACTGTTTTCTTCGTTTTTAATCTGACTTTGGAATGAAAGGCAAAGGTCATTATCATTAAAATTTAAAATAAACCCTAAAACTCCGCACTGAACGAAACCGAACGACTGATGAACAGCAGTCGATCTGCGCCCGCAAGGAGGTGCTATTCCTGTTCTTCTTCTGGAGAAACGAAAGAGAGCTTCAAAACAGACTGCAGCGCCATCTGAAGCAAAGAGCGAACATCCGGAAGACACTTCTTTGGCTGAGTGGCCAATCTTATTATTACTATCTTTGTTTACAGATAAATCATCGATACCTATATTTAAATAAAAGTATCGATATCCAGTAAGTCTTTGCTTACCTACCGGTGCTAGATCTAACGGCGACCGCAATTGTACAGGAGTGCCAGGGTTAGAGTTAGGTCTCTTCTTAATTGTGTTTGATGGGGTGGTCGCTCGTTACAAACGGAAGTCCTTCCACTTCCAGTCTAAAATCAAGATTCTAGAGAAATCTAGATTCTGACAATTGTTTCTGACATTGTTTGCACAAAAGTAGACTAGAAGATCTCTAGAAGTAGTCTTGTTCGTCTCTCATAATCATAATTATTTGAGTTTTGAGTTTGAGCAAGTAAGTCGAAAGACGCTTCCTATCTGCAGTGTCGTCATACAGTAGATTCTAGATCTTGATCTAGATTTACCTAAAAATAGTATCTCTTTAAGTTAGGCCTAGAGAATGTATACACTAGCTGTCTACGTTCACTAGGCTTAGATTCTAGATCTAGATCTAAATCTAATGTTCAGTGCTTCCAAGGACCAAGCGTTAGCGTGGCGGCGAATCCCGGTCCCTAAAGATTTTTTTTTCTTCTCCTGAGCCTGAAATAAAAAAAATAAAAAAATTAGACTCACACCAAGGAAAGCAAATAGATCTATTGAACTTTAAGCAGGCCTAAATTGGTCAAAGGAAAAGTATACTAAGGCCTACTTTGTACAGAGCTCCTCTTGGGGACAAAACTACAAAGCAGCAAGTTATTGATCTATTTTGAGGGGAAAATTTGTTGGTCTGTCGAGAAGAGGACAAAAAAACCCACCAAAAAAAACCCAATTTCCAGGTCCGGGATCGAACCCACGCTCATAAAATAATGGTTTGGCTTCAAACGCAGATGCGCTGTCACTTTGGCCATCAGAACTTCCAACAATGAAAGGTAGATAAGCTTCATATAGCCTAGGCTAACACTCAGCGTTTCATTTAGCACAGGTGCTAATCGCAACATGGCGTTTTATTTATTTTCTGGTTTTCTGTTACCAGTTCTAACATCATTTTAAAATTAGAAACTCCGGAGAATATGAAAAAGAAGTAAATGATATTTGCTGAAGTTGAAATACAGTATAAACACGGATAGGTCGAACACAGAAGGCTCAAAATCACACTTCCATCGAACTATGCTTGCGGTCCATTTTTTTTCTTCTTCCCTCTCTTTGTAAGAAATCCCTCGAAGTGCGTATCCCTGCTGAGGCCGGTCCCGGTGAATTCGAGCTATCCATGTTATACTGTGTTGTACTCCATTCATGATAATTAAGTTAAGTGCTTTATTTTCTGTAATATTTGATCTTGTGGTAGATATTCTCCTCTATTTTTGGACGTTCATTCCATTCATTACACTGTACTATGTGAATTGTAAAGTGTGCATCTCTTTCCTTTCAACAGATCTAGGTTTTAACTGCTGAGCCATGGGCTTCTTTCGCCGCTCGCTGTCAGAAGATTCTGTGGACCGCTACAACCATATCTGGTCAGTCTTGCTTCTCTTAGCTTTGGCCTTAACCACTTGGCTTCTGCCTCTCAGTCCTGCCATCGGCTCTCTAGCTTTACCTGATCCAGTCTCAACTCGCCCCTCTGCGGACACCAGTGAACCCAAACTCCCAACATACAGAGCAACATGTTGGACCCCAATAGAGTTTACTAATGCATATGTTAAATTTGCGAATGAAAAGTGTGCTGCGGCTTTGAATACTGTAGTAAAGAGTGGGAATGCTAGTAGGTCACTGTACTTGAACATGGATAACCTTCCTCCTACATTTGACCGTTTTGATGATCACTATGTTAAGCCTGAAGATATAATAACAGGAAGGAACGAGATGAGTGACCAGACAACCCAGCGTCCAACACGCCAAACAGGGCAGAGTTCTGAGGCTAGAGCTGACTCTTATTTTTTTGTGGCGGTTACAGTTCCTTTATTGCTATTTGTGTTTGCGATATGTCTGAGGCTTCCACATCTCTTGTGGTGCTTGATGTCCAGTTGTGGAGCCCTCAACGTTGAGCAGACTCTTGACTCAGCTCGGCAGGGGTTGATGCTGGATGCAAGCAGTCGCCGGCAATTTCACTCTGATCTCGCCCGTGCTGCAAAAGTAGCCGCAGGGGCGTCTCGTGGTGTTGGTCTAGCCTATTTGATCTTCAAGTTTTTGATGTGCTTGGTAGTGGTGTGTGAGCTTACTGCTCTCGGAGTTGTACTGCTGCCGGAACTAAATGATCTGAAAGACAGAAACGTCAGGAATGTCTCTGAGCCTGATGTCTCCTATTCCGATGTTTTGGCTTCCCCCGCACATTACCAGTATGAAAATGACATAATGTTCCTCTGCGATTTTAAAATTCGCCAGTTACAATCAGTCCAGATTTGGACTGTCCAATGTATGTTCAGCTATGACCCTAGCTCTGCAGCACTGCTGTCGAGTCTTGACGATGGACGTAATGTGCGACCTATTGGAGATTTGTTGCAGGGATACCACGCTCTCCTCACAGCGGTGTTGGCCTACCTGATCATCTTGTTTGTGGTTGACTTCCTTAGTCTGGTAACCTGGCTGTCCCGCCTCGTTTTTGGCACCTGCCGAGACAGTCTGACCGACGGAGGGTCCACTCTGTCTCTGGACCTGTCCTTCCTGCTTCTGATGAGTAAAGAACACAACGATCCCTTGGTCACTAGTGCTCTGGGTCAGCATCTGATGGTTGGCTCATCACGAGAAACTGAGATGGAAAAGCTAAAAGATTAACTTCATTGGCCAGGCAGTTGTGCAGTTTTGCACTGATACTCCTGTTAAAGGGTGTACGTTAACGAGACTGGCCACAATATTTTTAATACTCTTTGTTTTCCTTTCCACATTTGTCCAAACCTTTTTAAATGATTTATTGTACTCTGTTTCATCCGTTTTTAGTTTGTTTTGGTTGTTGGTGTTGTTGAAGTTAGAACCTTTTTGAAAAAAAAAAATAAAATAAGCTACCCACCTTATATTGTAGGGAATGTGGTCTTGTCTCAAGGTTTAAACAGTAGGCAGGTAGTGGTCCGAACAAGATATTATGAAAAGGCGTGAGAGTTACCACAACCCAGATCCCATAACTGGTAGAGAAGAAACTGCCAACAGAGTGCACAGTATTATTATGTTGTTGTGTACCTCCATACAGTTGAGTTGATGTATCTGTTTAGGACATAACCAGGAGAAAAGTGTAGCTTGTTGTTGTAGATTGTACTTTCCTTTCTTTCAAAGCCGTGTGGGCCTTAAAGTAAAAGATTCTGTTGACTCACAAGATTCCAATCTCACCTGAGAAAAGAAGCGCTCAATACTTTTTGTTGCCACTGTCCACCAAGTCATCATCATTGCCTTTCTCACCCTGGGTCAGGATATAGGCCACGAACAAACACTCTCCACCTTTCCCTATCCTGGGCTAGTCGCTTGATTTCACTCCACGTCTTCCCACTTTTCTGTACATCCATTTCCGTGACTGTTATACAAGGTGCGAACATTCCACGACGCAATCCGGAGAGACTTGTTCAACGGAGAGGGTTTCGGGTCAGAAGAGTCCTTTCGGCTTTGTCCGCTGTCCTTCATTGTTCCTGCTGATGCAGAAGATCCTCCGTCTCCCAAGATGGAAAAATTATAAGGCATGTTTGTTTGTGTTTCTATAACTTTCCTTTTTTACTGGGTCGGGTAGTTGGCCCTCCGCAAACTGTCACTTTTCAGGTGGCCAGACCTATGCACCTCCAGTATGTTCCTTTTCTCCCGCCTCATCTTTCTTGATTATGGGACATCACCAGAGAAATTTGCAATGAAAAAATGACCAATTGTTATGTCCCTTATCCAGAACTATGGAATTTTGCCCTTTGAAATTGAAATCGTTAACAATTTTTCAAGTACTTTAATTAGCAGATAGATATAAAAACATTCATAATGTTTAATTAATTGACTAAATGTACCCTGGTCTATTATTCTTGTTATTTGGGTGCGAGTCATCTGTGAACCTGAGAATGTTGTTGGATTGTTCTTATTTTAACATAATCTGGATCATTTAGGAGAGGGGCTGCTTTTTTTTCAACCATGTCTGCCTGGACAAACCAGGTCTGAGTGGGTGGTGTTTTATACAAGCTATGTGTTTGTTTTAGTTTTAGTTAAAGCTTTACAGCTCTTGTAACACAGATAGAAGGTCATATAAGTGACAAAGATCAGAGGTTTTACTAGAGAGCAGCATAGAAAGAAAGGAAAGAGGAGAGATTTTTAATAAGGATGATACATGTTTGATAGGAAAGAAGGGGCAAACCATATACCAGAGCGCCCACCAACCACCTACTATTGTGTGTTGTGGCAGCTGCGGAAGAAGGGTCTTGTTACTTTTTTTCAGGTATACTGGCAGGGAGGGATTGTTGTTGCAGCGGTGATTTCAGAGTTATTTTGCTTCTCTGAAAAGTTTTCTACCCCTTTGTTATTGTACTTTAATTTGTTTTTACTTGAAAATTTAGTTCTGTTAAGTATTCAGCACTTGTAGAAGTTTTGAAAAGTCTGTCCTCAGGCTCTATTACACAATTTTCTATGTACAGTGGAACTCAGATTCAATGAAGTCATCGGGCCTAACCTTCAATTTAGTTGAATCTTCGTGTATGTATAGCAAACATAAGGTTTTGGTGTAGATAAATCTTGATAATTACTGGCATCGAGCAAGTAATATACAATGTATTCGATTTTATCAACCAAAGGTAGTTTAGTTTCAAATAAGAAGCATTTTAGTTTCTTTGATACCGAAGAAGTGCTGGAAAATTCCAGAAAAATACTCTGAACTCTTTCCAAGCACACATGGTGGAAAAGGGCCAATTCATTCAAATGCACGCCTGTGTCATCTAACTTCTAGATAACGTATTGTTTGCCTAACAAGTTATATTGGTGTGTAGAGCCTAGCTTAGGGCAACATTTGATTCCACAGTCCAGTTTGCAATTCATTGCATAGATCTATGTCAAGATTAGCTTACCATTGTAATATTGATCAACAGCTGGTGTGTCTCGTTTTTATCTCTATAACTGATGTTCCACGCCCAGATGGCTTGTACCCCAACTCTCCATCCTCCCTGACATATGCACACACAGTCACACGTTGTACGTGTGCTGGCCGCTCGTCCGACCATGACACACGCTAAGACATAAGTGGGTGCTAACAACGCATTGTGTTGGTATGAAAGGAGGCCGCTGATTGCTCGCATAAGAAGCATTTCGCCCTGCAAGCGACTTCGTTGAATCCGAGCCTGCTAAATGTGTTTGTTGAATCAAAGTTATTTTTATTGATATTGTGAATAAAGTCAGGGTTGGGTTGATTTAAATCAGGTTGATTTAAATCAGTTGATTTTAAAAATTTAAATCAACTTGATTAAAAAAAAAAAATCAGTGATTTAAATCACTTTTTTTTAAATTTATTTTTATTCAGTTTTTACATATTTCAACATTCAGAATTCCTTTCCTAGGTTTCATAAAACAGATATAAGGTTTAGTACACTAATATAATCATGCTTAAAAGTCTGCTTTCCCCCCTTTCACTGTAAAATAATACAGTATTCAATTTACTTTTATTCCCATAAGAAATCAGAGCTGGGTTAATTTAAATCAGTTGATTTTTTTTATTTTAATCAACTTGATTTTGTGATTTAAATCACTTTAAAAAAAATATATTCTGTTTTTACATATTTAAACATTCAGAATTCCTTTCCTTGGTTTTATTTAACAGATAGGTTTAGTAGACTAATATAATCATGCTTAAAAGTCTGCTTTCCCCCCTGTCACTGTAAAATAATACAGTATTCAATTTTCTTTCTTTTCATAATTGAAAACCAGGGTTGGGTTGATTTAAATCACGTCGATTTAAATCAGTTGATTTTTCAAAATTTAAATCAACTTGATTTTAAAAATAAACCTCAGTGATTTAAATCACTTTTAAAAAATGTATTGTTTTTACGTCTTTAAACATTCAGAATTCCTTTCCTTGGTTTTATAAAACAGATATAAGGTTTAGTAGACTAATATAATCATGCTTAAAAATCTGCTTTCCCCCCTGTCACTGTAAGTAGTAAATAAATACAGTATTCAATTTGCTTTTTTTTCATAATTGAAATTAGCATTTTCTTTTTCTTTTTAGACAAACACAAGCATGCACACACACACATGCACACTGTAATAAAATACAAGTTTATCTATGTATAATTGCCCCCTCCCCCCCTTTCCTTTTAGACTGACATTTTCTTCATTTTTTGTCTGTAGCCATAATTCACTGATAATAGCAGATTAAGGCTTTCTTTTGCAGTTGCTTATATTAATCATTAGTTAAAATAAAGACAAGTCATTCTGCACTAAAAGAACATACTTTTAGCCACCAAAAATCCCAAACTGTGTCAACATTTTTTTTTTAAATAAAAAAAATCTGATTTAAATTTAAAAAATCTGATTTAAATAAAAAAAATAGATTTTTTAAATTTTTATTTAAAAAATCAAAAAAATCACCAACCCTGAATAAAGTACCCAGGGATTTAACTCCTTTCGTTGAATCTGAGTTTGTTCAAACGGAGTTCCACTGTACCTGCTCTTGCCTTTTATCGAGCCTGTGCCTTAAAAAAAAAGTTAGTCTAGTATGATCAGTATGCATGATAAATATATCACCAATATATTATATATATTTTTAAAAAATACTGTATAGTTTTATAGTCCAATGCACTTTTGTATTATTGGCGTATTTACATATTTTTACTTAAAAAGTACATTTTTACTATTGTCCATTTAGAGGCCATGACGGACTTCAGCCTTATCTAAATGAGACTTGAAATTACTGGTGAAGTCTAAATATTGGAAAGATGTTTTCGTGAAGATTTAAAAATCTTATTGGGTTGTTACGTTGCAGTGCAAAAAGAATGTTTGCTTTTTCAACAGCATGTTCCACTAATTCATGTATGTGATTATTATTTTAAATCAAATCTTTAAAAAAAAATGTAACGTTTTTAAAACCCAATTTGTGTTGCATCACGGTGAAATCAGGCACTTAAAAAAAAGTAAGGAAATTTGTGAAAAATGGTTTTCCAGCCCGTTGAGTGAGCGATTTTTTTTTTCTAAACCTTTTATTTTATGTCGATTTAGAATCAACTTTTTTTGGTGGATTTTTTGTTGTTAGAAAAACATTGATTGACCTTGACCATCAATGATTTATTTATAGAGGTACCAGCCATCCATGTCCAGGTGCTGTTTTAGCCTCTTTTTCCTGTATGTGGATTAATAATATATTTTTGCCAATTTATTGTTTTTGCTTCTATGATATACCCCATATATCTAATCTATGGTTCTCAACCAAAAGCATTGATTAAAGGCATAAAAAATGTATTTGCGGTTTCCAAGGGCACTCAAGCTTTTGCAGTCACCAAACTTTGGAGGCCATTTTCGTGTTTAATTTACCACTGACACCAACGACCCCCACCTCCTTCAATTGCAAATATCTCAACAGCTATTCAAGATGATAGATAACTTTTGTTTTGGTCAAAAGCAAGGCAAATAATCCGGCTTTAAGATGGTATCAGTAACCCCCGAAAATTGACAGGTGCTTGGTTCCTCTGCTGTGTGACACATTTAGTAGGTTATTTAGGAGTCTGCCTTCGACCCTATCTGGCAATGCTAACTCGGGCTGAGAGAGAAAATAATATACAGCATCCCAGCAGAAAGAATTAGAATTAGATTCTCAGTAAAAATTCTCCCCTCTTGGGAATCGACTCAGGCCTCCTGCATGTGTTGGCTAAGCTCGTGTAAGCGCTACATCACAGACACTAGCACGAGTTGTTGACTCATTTTCATGTTGACTTTTCCTTCATATGCGGTGGCACCTACTATATTATATTAGCCAAACAGTATCATACGTCTTGATGTGTCCCTGTTTAACTACAGTTGTCTCGGTCGACTACGAATGAGCTGATGTCGTTGGGC